ATTCATTCATTCATTCATTCATTCATTCATTCATTCATTCATTCATTCATTCATTTTCTATGGCTGCCATTTCAAACAAGTGACTCTGGGCTGCGAACAATCATACCATTAATTAAAACCAAGTTCAAACACAATACAAAAAATAAATATATATAGCAGCCGAGAAAAATCATAACCATAGATGTTAATATAACCAGGAAATGGGGCCTTTAACACACTAGGAGCCCCAGGCCCAGGCACATAACCAAATCTTTAAGGCCTTATGAAAGGCCAACAGAGTTGGTGCCATCCTAGTCTCTGGAGGTAGAATGTCCCAGAGGGCAGGGGCTATGGCAGAGAAGGCACGTCTCCTAGTCCCCACCAGCTGGCATTCCTTGGCTGACAGGACCCGAAGCATGCCCATCCTGCCAGACCAGATTGTATGGGTAGAAGCAACTGGGAGAAGACAATCCCTCACATACCCTGGTCTTAAGCCATGAAGGGCTTGAAAGGTGACAGCCAGCACCTTGAATTGCACCTGGAAACGCACTGGCAACCAATGCAGCTCACAAAGCAATGGTGTTATTTGCTTAATCTGTTTGATTACTTAGATAAGGTTGTATAAGTGATCTCAATGTTAAATTTTTTGAAGCTATTTTTCAGGGGCATTTTTCAAGAGCAGTTGCGAATAATATTTTAATGCAGCAGAATACTAGGAGTATGATAATACAGTAAGAATTCTGAATGTAATCTAGCAACAGTGGAGGCATGCAACTTGCTATAGAAATAGTTAGTCATCTTGAGATTTGATTTAGGTTTTATTGATATTTGAAGTGGACCCCAGATCACCTTATTTCTTCAAGAATACCAGCCTTGGCTTCCAAACTGAATGGTTGCAAACCCCCAGATATTTGAACTGTAGTTAGCCATTTTATCCAAAAAACAAGAAGAGTGATTCTGAAGCTCGCTATCTCATTGAATGCAAGTTGGAACATTTGACATGTAAGTTGAAAAGAGAGAAATTGCAAGAAAATACATTTTTCTTTTAAGTGAGATTGCAAGGATTATTATCCTTGGCTTTTGCACTGAAGAAACAAAATATAGAGTGAAAGTGATAGTCATTAATTAGTTCATATTTCTTGCTTTTTATAGTCAGAATCATAGACTGTGTATGTTCTTTTTACAGCGGTTTTGTAAACCAATTTTCATTTTATCCTATACAGGACAGGAAAAGAAGGCCAGCCAAGGGAGTACTATACATTGGATTCAATTTTGTTCCTGTTGAATAATGTACATCTTTCACATCCTGTTTATGTCCGTCGTGCGGCAGTAAGTAAATTTCCTGGAGGAAGAGCTTAGCGTTGTTTAATTATGTTATGTGCAAACAATCTTGTATATAAAAGAAATAAAAGAGATTGTTTCTACATCATTAAAAAAAATGTAGAAGAGCATTCACAATTTTGTTTACTTTTAGCCTTTGTTACTTCAGTTGTAGTTTGGTCTTGACCACCTTAAATCTTATTACAAAAGCTGTGTTAAGCTGCTTATTATTTATTTTTATCCCAGATCTGTTTACCTGGAAGAAAATGACATTAAACTCATTTGAACTTTTTTGGAATTGAATATTCTAACTAGATTTGTAGTCTTAACTGAAGTAAAGAATTACCTGCCTATGGCTGAATTTAAAGTTGATATTGTATTTTAGCACATTGTTAAAATTGGTTTTTAATGTTGTATTTATGTTGCCTGTATGTTCCAATATGTTAATTTTAGTTTGAAGAATGAAGAGTTGCTTTATTTTGTATGTATGTATGTATGTATGTATGTATGTATGTATATATA